CAGAGACAGAGTCTCACTTCATTGCCCTCCATAGAGTGCCGTGGCATCACACAGCTCACAGCAACCTCCAACTCCTGGGCTTAGGCCATTCTCTTGCCTCAGCCTCCCGAGTAGCTGGGACTACAGGCGCCTGCCAAGGTATTTCTTGATTGGACTAATGTTTTGATTCCGGGGCTAGGAGTAAAGCAGATTAGCTCCATATAAGGAGGGTGGGCCTTGTCCAATCAGCTGAAGACCTTATGAGGAAAGATTGAGGTTCCCCAGAGAGGAAGGAAGGAATTCTGCCTCCAGACTTAAGATACCAACATCAAATTCTCACTCCCCAAGTCTCCAGCCTGAGGCCGGTCCCATAGCTTCCAACCTGTGTGAGTCAATCCCTTAGAATCAATCAATATTCCAATGTGCAACCTATGGGTTCTGTTTCTGTTTCTCTGGGAACCCTGACTTTTTTTTTTTTTTTTTTTTGAGCCAGAGTCTTACTTTGTTGCCCTCAGTAGAGTGCTATGGCATTGTAGCTCACAGCAACCTCAGCCTCAGCCTCCCAAATAGATGGGATTATAGGTGCCCACCACAACGCCCAGCTATTTTTTAGAGACTGGGTCTCTCTCTTGCTCAGGCTGGTCTTGAACTTGTGAACTCAGGCAATCCACTCACCTAGGCCTCCCAAGTGCTGGGATTACAGGTGTGAGCCGCCACACCCAGCCTGGGAACCTTGACTTCTACAATCTCATCCCTATTTTATAGATGAGGAAATTAAGACAGAGAGAGTTTAAGTAACTGCTGGAATCTGTACTCTCTCTTTCTCTTTTTTTTTTTTAGTTTGTATATTTTATTTTTTATTATAATATTTTTTTTTTCTGGAGACAAAGTCTTGTTTTGGCACCTTTGGTCGCCAAAGTGAGCGAGTGCTGTGAGTTCTGTGGCGTCATAGCTCATACCAACCTCAAACTCTTGGGCTCAAGTGATTCTCTTGCTTCAGCTTCCCAGATAGCTATGACTACAGTTACCCCCACACTGCCCAGCTATTTTAAAGATGCTATCTCTCTCTTGCTCAGGCTGGTCTTGAACTCCTGAGCTCAAGCAATCTACATGCCTCGGCCTCCCAGAGTGCTTGGGATTACAGGTGTGAGCCTCCGTGCCTGGCCTGGTTTGTTTTAATAGACAAGGTTTTGCCTGTGGCCCAGGTTAGGGTACAGTGGCACAATCATAGCTCACTATGACCTCAAAATTCTGGGGCAGGTCAGAAACATCCCGCCACTGTCCTGTCCTCCATCCTGCTGCCCCATGAGGCAGAGCTGATGACATTTGCTGATATTCTGAGAGCAAGACTTGCTAACCCGGCTTGGCGCCTGTG